GCCCGCAGCTGCCGCCAGCTCTGGACTCTCAGCTCCTTCCACATTCCACGGCTTTACTTATGAACCACAGGAATCCAACACCCAGGAGCCAGAATAAAACTTACTATGTAAGATGACTTTGAGAAGGGATTCAACAGAGGGATAAAACTGTAGGATTGCGCCTGTCTGTCTTGTAATACCAGTTTTATCTGTAGATATTCTGGCTGGGTTATTGGAGCTTATTCAGAAATGGACAGGTAGAATTTCATCTGGGCCTAGTGGTGCAGGCCTGTAATCCCAGAAAACCCCAAAGTCCATCTTCCCAGTGTGGCCACGTTGCTTAAATCTCCTTTTTGTGCTTTATCTATTGATTTGGCTCTTTTAGTGACTTATTGCAGATAGGGTAGCCGAACCTGGCTTGTTGGAGCACAGCATATGACTGACCCCCCAAGTCCAAAATCACCACCAAGTCCGATGACCTGAGTCATCCCTCAAACCTACATAGTAGAAGGGGAGAAACAACTCCTGCAAGCTGTCCTGTGACCTCCACATGCATGTAGGCACACACACACACACACACACACACACACACACACACACACAGAAATGTAACTTTAAAAAAGAAAGAAAGAAAATGCATCCTAGTGCTGAGCAGAGATGTTGGCTTGTGGCTTTGCAGGTTCTTTGTCCAGTGTAAGGTTTACATGGGCCCACATGCTCCATGTGGAGATCTCTGGTCGGCAGCCCAGAGGTTTGCATGGGCCCATGTGCTCCATGTGGAGATCTCTGGTTGGCAGCCCAGAGGTTTGCATGGGCCCATGTGCTCTGTGTGGAGATCTCTGGTCGGCAGCCAGAAGTTTGCATGGGCCCATGTGCTCTGTGTGGAGATCTCTGGTCGGCAGCCAGAAGTTTGCATGGGCCCATGTGCTCTGTGTGGAGATCTCTGGTCGGCAGCCCAGAGGTTTGCATGGGCCCATGTGCTCCATGTGGAGATCTCTGGTTGGCAGCCCAGAGGTTTGCATGGGCCCATGTGCTCTGTGTGGAGATCTCTGGTCGGCAGCCAGAAGTTTGCATGGGCCCATGTGCTCTGTGTGGAGATCTCTGGTTGGCAGCCCAGAGGATTGCATGGGCCCGTGTGCTCTGTGTGGAGATCTCTGGTCGGCAGCCCAGAAGTTTGCATGGGTCCATGTGCTCTGTGTGGAGATCTCTGGTCAGCAGCCCAGAGGCTCCTTAACTAGAGTAGCCAGAGCAAGCCGGACTCAACTTCCATCTCCAGGAGACCAGCAAGGTGGGCAGGTTCTCATCAGCTCTGTTCTGCACTTCATTGAGAGGCCTCGTCATGCCTGGCCATGCACCACGAAGTGTGTTTCTTTCCTGCTGCAGAGACCCACACTAAAACAGATGTTGAAAGAAGGAGGTTGAGGCTGGGGGCAGGTTGCTCTCTTTGGTATCTGTGTCAGGTTTGAAAGAATGTGATAGTCCTAAGAACTGCAAACCTCAACAGAGAGTATTTTCGATGGCTTAATGTTTCTTGAAGCCATGTGCCAATACAAGGAAAAAGAGAACAATTTATCATGTTACTTGATACAGAAATCTATGGATGGCAAGAAGCACTTCTTCATGGCAGAGCAGAGGCCAGCAGACCGTGTGGCCCATGAGTCAAGCTTGGCCTGAAACAGTTTTCACATATAAGTTGTTCTGGAGTAGATATGCCCATGCACTTGATGTGTACCTGCTTCTCTCTACAAAGAGAGCAAAGGACAGATGACAGTTGTCATGGCCTGTAGAGGTGAAGCGGCCTTAGCTTCATCCTCTGGAGGTCTGAATATTTACGCCCACTGTGACAAGTGACAAAACATAGATTAACAGAGAACAGACAACACTGTACCAGTGTGCACAGGCCCGCATGCAGTCTGAAATCCAGAGAAGGCAGATGCTCAAGGCTTCTCCTCTTGGGGGAGGAGCAGGTGGGGCATGTGGGTCATTCTAGAAGGGAGATGAGGGGCCCAGAGAACAGAGAATAGGCTGATGCAAGTGCTCTGGGTGTGCTGTGTGACTCTCAGTCTCTTCCTCTGTGATAAGAGTTTGATCTTTCTCAGTAAATGACATTTTCATACAGAACTTACAGACACTGGTATCTCTCTTTGGTGGATCCAGACTTTAAGTAGATAAGGGAACTTCTGAGAAAGAACATAGAACTGAGAAACAGGAAGGAGGGAGGCCGGGCTGGGGAAGGGCAGACAGACCCGGAGGATGCTGCTTCAGCTCCGCAGCTGAACGCACAGTACATTGGGGATAATGTTTTGTGAGCCCCAACACATGAAATGTCCAAACTATTTACACCTGGCCTTGGAGAGAGGGCATTGGTTTGTAAACATCTGTTTTAGCACTGTCTGCAGGTCTGACTCATTGCCAGCTTTGGAAAGGTGGGGGGTGAGTTGTTTAACTTGAGAGTGTCAGCTCCCTCACTTACAAAACATGATACAGAGGATAAAAGTTCAGGTTAGATAATATATGCAAAGTACCATCCTTGCCCTGCTGGTATTGTGAACAGGCTTACCTAAAGCACTCAGCACAGTACCCGGTTTGTGGTCTTAATCATTTTTGTCTGCCAACACTTTGGTGCGCTGCTTTGTGGCTGCTGTGATCCCATCTCATCTTCCTTCCACGCTGTTCTGTCAGGGGGCAGTTTGACTTCCTGCAACAAACGAGTAAGATCTCACGAATGCCATGCGATAAGGTGTGAGGAGCACCAGGGTCAGGATTCCTGTCAAAGCCCCTACAGCAGGGCAGCCTATGGGCGCAGCGCCGGATCTGAAATTCCTGGGTTAGACTGACCGCTTCTGTGTTAATAGATGTGTGACCTAATTCAGCACCCTTTAACCATCCTCTCTATCAAGCATCCACGGCACCCATAGCATTGTGAGAATGTACAGTGTTGACCATGCAAGAGTGATCCACAGTGATAAGCCTCAGCCCTCTGCTTTGGATAGAGCAGAGTGGGAAGAGAGCGAGGCTGGCCATACATCAGCCGGTTCTGCTTTGACCACCTATGTTAAGCTACCATTGTGGGTCTCTCCCTCCCCTCGAGGGCCGTTGGCCACTGATCCACGAGGACAAAGGGAGCAGAAACAACGAACGGGGTCAGGATGGCCAGTGAGCATGACGGAAAAGACTTTCCGGGGAGTCGGATTCAGTGATACAGCTCCGTTTATTCAGTGAGGGTCAGGGAAAATACAGTGTGGAGGCAGGAGCCAAGGCTTCAGCTGATAGGTGCTCACAGTACACTTTATTTACATGTGGCAATGGGCTCCTATCATCAGACTACTGGGCAATGCCTGATTATCATATAGAAAAAACCTGGGGGCAGTTTTATTGCAGGTAACTATGCCAAAGGTCATGTTCCAAATAAGGTCAGGCATCCATGCTTGGTGGCACTTTCCAGGTAAGTCAGGCAGAGAGCAGGAGGCCCCCCGCTGAGAAAGGGAGTCCTTCCATACAGCGCTGAGCCCCTTAGAGCTATCCGGACATGGAGGACTGTAGCCTTAGCAGCGGGGTCCCCCAACACACCATCCCACTGCTTGATTGATTTCTTCATGTAGCATGTCAGAACACACCTGCTATGTGTAATCTGCCCGCCCATCTCGGTTTCTTCCCGACCTCATGTATTCCAGGGGCATAAGGAGTACAGTCTTGTTTTATTTGCTGGAATGTTCTTTTTTAAGGTGTATTTTATTTTTTAAATTATGTGTATGTGTGAATATCTGGGTGTGGAGATGTCCACATGAGTGTGGGTGCCCATGGAGACTAGAAAGAGGCATTGAATTTCCCTGGAGCTGGAGTTACAGGTATTTGTGAACAACCTGATGGGAACCCAACTTGGGTCCTCTGCAAGAGCAGTGTGTGCTCTTAACCACTAAGCCATCTGGTTAAGCCTTACTGACTTCATGCCTGTAATGGTCTTAGATACACGGTGTTCATTAACTGTAGTAAATGGAGGAATGGAGCCCAGAGAACCTTCCAGCCCTAGAAGCGTCCTACATAGCTTGTGTAGGTGCCAGGACTAGAGGAGCAGGCAGCAGGGAACCTCACAGACCTGAGCAGCCACATTGGTCAGTCCCACAGAAACTAAAGATTTATAGAAAATCCCCACACCTTTAGGTAAGATATGGAAACTGTATGGTGAGAAGCTTTTTTTGGTTTGGGGGACGGGGTTGTTGTTCTGGAGACGCTGTTCTTGCATGTGTAAGGCACTCAGGGCCTGCGTCAACTGAATCCATTACTTAGGTGAGGTCTGGGGACACAGGCTTCAACTCAGTTGTTGACCTCCATGTGGGTGGGGTAGACACTGACCTTGGTAAACTGTGTATCTGAGTCTGTTCAGCCAACAGAAAGCATCTCTGTAAGTGCACTGACGGTGTGAGGGGCCTTGTGCCTTCAGAGATGTGATACTGACCTGCCAAGGTTGTACACTTACTCTCTGTCCTGCTCAGGACAGCTGGGCCAGAGACAGTAAAAGAATCGTGCATCCAGCTTGTCTGTGATGAGCATCAAGCTGTATGGCTCAGGACACAGCCTGGGACAGATTTAGAAAGTGGAGGACCTTGTCTGGCCATAGGTGGCACATCTCTGGCTCCTGTGGTGACCAGCATCCTTCTCACATGGCCTCCCTAAGCTGCTGTGAGGTGACTTGCTGTGGCTCAACCTCTGAATTCAGGCACACAGTGTCAACAGACATGAGGAAGCCTGTGTCAGCGAATCCCCCAGGACCCTCAAACATGTATGCCGGACTTCCGTGCGGGAGGTGCTGAAACCCGGGGCACTTGTGGCCTAGGCTACCAGCCTGTGACTCCATACCATTTCCAGATGGCTAGCACACAGGGATGGGCGGGTGTTCGAAAACCTGAATGGAAATGTGAGTTCCTGTGTTCCTCTGGCACAGGGCGGGCACTGTTTGATAGTCCAGTGGACAGGTGTGGAGAGCCCGCCCTTAGTGACCCTGCTCCTCTGCTGTGTTCCAGCATGGGCTACTGTATCCTCTTTGTGCATGGCCTGAGCAAGCTGTATGCTGGGCTGAGCCGCTGCGGGGCCACGTCTCTGATGGTGTCCATGGCGCTGCTGCTCCTGCTCTTCTCCTGGAAGACGGTGAAGCAAAATGAGATTTGGCTGTCGAGAGAGTCCTTATTCAGGTAAGGTTAGACAGGAGGAGCTGTTTCTAACCAGCTCTTTCAGTGAGTGCATATTTGTTAACGAATGAGGTAACGCGGGTCTGGTGGTATGTATGAATCTGGAAAATCCCCTGAATAAAGTTTGAAATGGAAGGTGGGATTTTATTTGGAGGTCTTCATTTTAGATTTAAAGTGATATATAAAATTGACCATGAACTCACTCTGAGTAGATTTATGAGAATAAGACTCGGCAGGGTTCTGGGTCTGTGGATTCAAGGGGAGACGTCCCTTGATGAGCTGGGCTGTAAAATCAGCCTCATTCCTTGGCCAGGTACATGGGGAAGGAGGGAAGAGACACTGAGTACCTCCCTTTGGAATATTCCAGAGTGGTAATCATGATCTGTGATGTCATGGCTGTATTGAACATTAATTTTATAAAAAGAAATAAAAGACTTTCATTTCCTCATGGACCGTGTGTGTGTGTGTGTGAGTGTGTGTGTATGTGTGTGTGTGTGTGTGTGTGTGTGTGTGTGTTGTATATATTTTTTTCTGATTATAAGCATGTTGCTGGGTTGGTATCGTAGATCAAGGGTAGAACACGTGTATATGTGTGTACATGTGCGTATATATGTGTATTGTGTGTCTATATATAAATGTCAACATTTCTATATAAAGTACACACTGGTTGTGCCCTGTTCCCTCCTGTCTGCAGGTGGGCTCTGCCATGACCCCGACAGCAGAGAGGACCACCCCTTGCCAGGCCCCAGCTGTGTCTCCACAGAAGGGCCTGGCACCTCCTTGCAGAGAATTTGTTTGTCCTCACTCAGGGTGTTGTTCATCTGTGCACACCTGAGCACAACCTTCATTGCAGCTCTGTGTAATCGGTCATATAATTCACAAATTTTGGAAGCTTGTTTGAAATGGAAATAGTAAATTTCAAAGGCAGTTTCATGAAACCAGGAGTAAAACAGAATGACAGTAGTATGTTCTTTGTTTTGTTTTCTTTTTAACATATCCATTGTAGATCTGGAGTTCAGACTCTGCCCCACAATGCCAAGGTTCATTACAACTACGCCAATTTCCTGAAGGATCAAGGTCGAAACAAGGAAGCCATCTACCACTACAGAACCGCCCTGAAGTAAGCATGGTGGGAGGCCATTAGTTTGTGCTGCTCATGTCTCCCACCCCCTCCTAGGGCTGGAGGTGGTCCTTCCTCCTGGCAGTGAGCATACCCCTTAGGGACCGTGCCCCTTAGGGAATATGCCCCTTAGGGAACGCGCCCCTTAGGGAATATGCTCCTTAGGGAACGTGCCCCTTAGGGAACGTGCTCTTGGAGGTTGGAAAGCTCTTGGGCTCTGAGTCTTTGGGCTCACGTCTAAGTGTGTTGCTAATGTGGTTGCCCAGTGTTGCTCTCCCTGTTTCTGTTCAAGAGTTGTCATTGCTTCACATTACACAGTGCCATGAAATGCAGTTCAATGCAAATGTGCAAACAGGAATTGCCTGTTAAAAATACACCGGTAAGTTTAGGCTACTAATTCTAACGAATTCTTAATGATATGTGTAAAGCAATCTCTAGGCCTCTCACACCCCTTTTTTATGTGTGTGTAGGGAATGCATATGTGTGCACCTGCATGTGGCCGTCAGAGTCAACCTCCAGTGTTGCTCCTTAGATACCATCCACTTTTCTTTGAGACAAGGTCTCACTGACCTAGAAATTGTCAATTAGACTAGACTGGCCATTGAAACCTGCCTCAGAAAAAAGAGGACATATTCCTTCTTGGGTCCATATACTTCCCAGAGTATACCCTGGCCTTAATAATTGACATCGTATGCTTCTGGATGCCGTTTTCAAAGGCAGGAAAAGGGCAGTCAGTCTGAGAGCTTTGGTGGGAGGAAGTGAACCAATACTTCTCCAGATTCCTTTTGGTGTGACAGACTATTTTCTGTCAAGCTGAAATAGGAAAGGGAGGGTGACTCGAAGCCACAGCTTGGGGCAAAGGTTTATATTAAGTGAAATTCTTTGGCAATTGATTCCACAAAATTATTGTAGCTGGCTGGGTATTTCCGCTTCTTTCAAAACTGTGAAACAATTAAACATTTGCTTCTGGAAGAAATATACCACCCTGGGGAATGTGGGATCACTTAAGGCTTTGAGTGTACCATAATTAGAGAATTATTTAATGTTCTCAGACCAAGTCCAAACTACTTCTGATTTAAAATATCATTGTTTGTGTGTGGACTCCTCTGTGATGGACTTTCAGCCAATGTGAATGTTTTCATTTCTATTTTTAAGTAAATTGTCACTCTTTGTGTTGGAAAGAAAAAGAAAACCCCAAACCATTCATCATTTTGACAATTATTTATCCTCCCCGGTGACTGGAAGACGTGCCTACTTTGCAGGGCTGTTTCTTGGTGGAAGTTGCTGAGGCCATAGGCACTGGCCCCTCCCAGTGGTTTCTCTGCTTTCTGACGCTTTCCTATTTATCTCAGCAAAGCCGAGAATGACTGGGCTAAAGGTGATAGTCTGCATCAGTTCAGCAGTCCTTCCTCACTGTGGAGATGACTATGCAGGGATCAGATTACCCAGATCACACCATTAGTCTTTTTGGTTGGTTTTGAGTACTAAAAATAGCACTCTGTTAAGTTGGTAATTGTATGAACAAGAAGATTCTATTTTTTACTTTATTTATTGTGGGGGAGGGTTGAGGCAGGGTCTCCCTATAGCCTCAGCTTGCCTGGAACTTACTACATAGACCATGCTGGCCTCTAGCTCACAGAGATCTTTACCTGCCTCTGTGCTCTGAATGCTGGGATTAAAGATGTGAGCCACTGTGTCTGGCATAACTTTATTTTTTAAAATAACACAGAAGCTCTACTGACTTTTCCCTTGGCATACTTCACTTATTAAATTGTTCTAGTACAATAAAATTCTCTTCCCTTAAAAATACAGCAGCTGGGGCTGGAGAGATGGCTCAGCAGTTAAGCGCACTGACTACTTTTACAGAGGACCCAGGTTTGATTCCCAGCACCCACATGGCAGCTAACAACCATCTGTAACTCCATTTTTAGGGGATCTGACATCCTCTTCTGATCTTTGTGGGTATTTCACGACACAGGCGCACTTACATACATGCAGGCATAGCATTCATACACATAAAATAAAAATTAATACAGCGGCGCATGCCTTTAATCGCAGCACTGGGGAGGCAGAGGCAGGCGGATCTCTGTGAGTTCAAGGCCAGCCTTGTCTACATAGTGAGTTCCAGGACAACTGGGGCTACAGGGAGACCCTGTCTCAAAAAGACACACACACACACACACACACAAAAATACAGCAGCTAAGATTTTATCTTCAATTTAAAACTCAAGTCATCAAAGAAATCAATAAATAAAAGGTCAGAATCTATATTAGTTACTTTCTTTTTTAACATTTTTATTGAGTCTTTGAGAATTTCATACAATTTATTTTGATCATATTCAGACCCCTCCCCCATCTCCACCCCACCTTATCGCCCAACTTCATGTTTTCTAGTATTGGATTTTTTTTTTGTCTTTTTGAGACAGGGTTGCCCTGTAGCCCCAGCTGTCCTGAAGCTCATTATGTACACCAGGCTGGCCTTGAACTCACAGAGATCCACCTGCCTCTGCCTCTCGAGTGCTGGGATTAAAGGCGTGCATCACCATGCCCAGCTGTATTATTAGTTTTTAAAGACATATTAAGTCTAATTTGTGTTCCCCAAATGCTCTTGGGTGTGGGACCACCCCCTGGAGCCTGGTCAACCTACTTGTCATCAACCCTTAAAGAAGCTGCCTCTCCCTCTCCCAGCAGCTATAAGTTGCCAGTAGCTCTTCAGCTGGGGCCGGCTTCTTGCCCACCTCCCCTTCCATGCTGGGTTTTGTCTGGCTTGGCCTTGCGCAGGTCCTGTGTGTGCTGTCACCAGTGTTATGGGTTCATATGTGCGCTGCCCTGTGTGTCCAGACACCATGCTCTTTATTTTGTCCTCTACCTGTCATATGAACTCACAGTAATGGTGACCGCATGCACAAGTCCATGCAAGCTCAAACCAGGCAAAATCCCAGCACAGACATGGGGAAGTGTGTAAGAAACCCCAACCCTGCCTGTGGAACTGTTAGCAACCAATGGCTGCTGGGAAGGGCAGAGACAGTCTCTTTCAAAGATGTGACTCTTGGGAGGGTAACCAGGCTCCAGGGGATGGACCCACACTGAAGGACATTTGGAGATAAAAATTAGACTCTGTTGGCATATATATATATATA